CCCCCACACCACTACCGCTTGGTCCCCCAAAAATGTTATTGCTTTTTCAACCCACTGACTCACATCGTCCCTTCCTTTTTAGAACATTTTCTTCTTTTTTTGCCTCCCCATGCCACACTTCCTCTGTCTCTCTCACTTCTAAAAAAAAATATTGTATAACCGAAATCGCGCGCAAAATCTTTACATCATGTTATCAGTGTGTTTTCAGTTCAACTAACACACTTACTTGTTGTCGTCATTATCATCGTCGTCGTCGTTTTCGTTGCCGTTTGTCGTAATTTGTTGTTGCTGCTGTTGCCTTCTTCCTCTTCTTCCTTAGTTTTTTGGTCAGAGGAGGAAAAGGGCGAGAAAAAGTTTTTTTCGATTCCAGGGATGGAAAATGTTTTGGGCCAAATCAAAAGGACGATGATTGTGATGACTGCTGTTACTGCCAAATGCGTTTAAGTATTAAAATATGAACACATTTTCTTCTTCTGTTTCTATAGATTCGGTTGAAGTTTTATTTTATTTTGCAAGTTAACATCAATGTTGTAGTGGAGCAGATGCCGAATGGATTTGAAATAGTTTGGGGATGGATTTAAAATTGATGGTATTAGCGGGATTTTTTTGAAAGGAAACTTATTGTTCTTACTTCCAGGATTAGAAACAACAAACATATTTAAATTCTGTAAAATTGAGCAGGTAAGTTGTGGTATTGATTATCGATTGAGAAGATTGATAATTTTTGATTTCTAGAAACAAGTTTAATCGTGATTATAGAGAATTGAGGCTTACATCCCTACACATGCATGTCCTTTTTCATATCATATGTACTGAGAATGAGGCTCACAGACTTCCTTTATAGGCTACAAGCTGAAATTCATCAAAAGAGTGGTTCGGATCTCACTATAAACTGTAGGTCAAGGTTTGGTTGGGAGGTCTGGTGATTCCTCTCTAATTAAACTATCATTAGCCTTGTAACACATACAACGAGCAGCTTTGGATCTTATGGTCTGAACAGCGAAATTTGATTAATGATTTACATCATTTTTAAGTTTGTCAATCCTTGGGAAGCTTTTGATACACTCAAGGGTCTAATATTTAAGCATACCGGTTAGCTTGATGTAGGAAAATTTTTCTTTCAAATTATTTTCTCAAACCCTAGATGTAGAGACAAAAACTCCTTTTGGATAATTCAGTAATTGTAATTTCAAAATATGCTATAAACCTGATTACGCCTGCAACTTTTTGAAACAAGAAAAAAACAGAAAATAAGATCAACAAGCTAAAAATTGTCTCCAGCACATCCAAATCCTAATCGTTTTTTTTTCTTCGCTCTGATAAAACGCCTTACAAAGAATGAAAAATAGGATGGAGAAATGAAAATATTTGTATTGAATTATTGATTCCCATACCAATGAATATTTGAATTCCTATGGAAATTGAATGTTTGCCTTTAAAATGAAATTCATCGTGATATGAAATTTATATGGTTTTATGATTTTGAAAGACGAAATAAATATTAATATTTATATTGGATGGCATTTATAGCTTCCTTTGTTTCAGACTTTCCAAAAATTACCCCTCCATTCCCACCCTTTGCCTATGCTATTAAAATTTCTTCTTCTTTTATTGTCTATTTTGTTAGTTCCATGCTTTTTCTTCTTCCTTTTTTTGTTAGCGAACATTTTTCTTGTTTAACTGCACATGCGGTGACGCAAAAATAAAATAGGAAGTGATTGACCTCAAAGTGTAAAATTTACAATATTTTATGTTTTTTTCTTCTTGGTGTTCTTCCTTTTTTTTTGGCTGTTGTTGTATGCATAATGAGGGTGAGACAATTTTACATTTTAATGGCAAACAAAGACCGAAAAAAATTCTCAAATTTTAATTTTTAATGAGTTTCTTGTAATTTTCTTTTCTTTTTGAATGTTTTATGTGTTGACATTAAATAGGCAAGCTTGAAAGTGGGTGAGATTAAAGGACGATGTTTCATGAAAAAAGAGAATCGATTAAGAATATTTTATGATAAAAATGTTCTCAATTTAATCCAGTAGTTTTTGGCAGGGAATCTCTATCAATTTAAGTCGACGTGAGAGGAGGAGGCCTACTTGATATGATGGTACAATTAGGTCTTACGAATTATTAGTGTTTTTCAAGTTTAGGTCCTGGTCTATGTGCATAGCTTATCAATTATAAGTTGGCACCCTTCATAAAATGAGACTTTGGTGCTAGAGTGTATCAATAATTCAGAACAAAGCACAGCCTCTTAAATCCCTTAGTTGTCAATACATAAGAGTATTTTTTGACCTTTTTGAAGCATGACCACCACGATTGTTTAATAAATAATCAAAAAAAAAATGATGTCACGTGGATGCAGCTGTATATTTATCCCAATTTCACACCAAATGCTTAAAGAAATTGAAGGAAAAATAAATAAAGTGAGAGAGAGATTCACAAACGAGCATGAGAGAGTGAGACAAAGACTTAAAGAGAAAATGAGAACGAACCAAGAAAATGAAAAGCAAACAGTGATGAGGAATGAGACATGATGGAAAGAATAAGAAAAAGAAGAAAAATAAATTGCACGTTCGTGATTCAATCAACTTTAATATTCTGTCAATCAATAAGTAAAACGAATTTCATTTCCTTCTTGTGGAGAGAAAAAAAAAAGTTTCTCCTCATCCACCAGCAAAGCAAGTGATGGTTGGGTGAAGAAAATAGGTCAGGCGAATGTCTTGAAGGAAGGAAAGAAAGGAATAACAACAACAATGGATTTGAGAATGATAAATTATAAGATTTTTTTTCCCTTCATTTCTCTCTCCTCTCACTCAGTCACTCCATCTCTCTCACATCCACAAAATCTTATTTTTCTTTCCTCATTGCCAATTTCGGCAATGGTCAAGAACAAATGAGATGGAAAAAAGGTTGTAAATATTGAAGGAGGAAACAGATGGCTGGTGCTGCTGCTGCATCTACTTACTCGACTTGCCTCACTTCCTTATTACTCCATGCTCTCAATTCTTAATTTGTTTCTCTTGTTTGTTTGTTTATTTTCGTTATTGTTTGCATAAAACAGCAAGCCAATAGAATTCTTAAATTCGCATCATCAAATTGATAAGAACAATTCAGAAGTGAAAAGTTTTTGCTTCGTAGCTGATAAAAAATTTCTGTTTTTCCTTTGTATGACTTTCATTTCTTTGTGAATTTAACCTCAAAGCATTTGAAAATGAAACAAGTTTTATGTCTTCTTGTGATTTGCTTTTGAAAAGTTAAGGGAATTAAATTCCTGAGAGGAAACTTGTGACGCAGATTATTTTTTGAGAAATCTTTTCGTTCTTGGAATAGAGGATGCTAAAAATATGTTTTTACTGCTGGGATTTCATTATGCTCATTTATTTTATCTGCAGTTGCTGGATTATTAGATGGCGATGGAAAAATTGGACATTAATTTTGATTAAGGATGTAGATTTTGATCTTTTTTGATACCATGTTTAATTTTTTTTTGGACCAGTAATAACCTGAAAATGTCCATCCCTTAAAAATTGTATGAAGTGTCACATGGCTTCAGATCTTTGTGACTAGAATGATTTTATAGTTCTGAGAAAAATATTCAAAATTAAATCACGAATATTCTAATTCCTAGAAAAAATTCTTTTATCACCCTTCATTGACTTATTGATTTAGTTTTTCAATTGTGAGCATGCATAGAAGGAATTGATCACAAAAATCATCACGGAAAGTGGTCAAATTATTGTTGTGAAATGTAAAATCAGTTGCATGAAATGAATGAGCAGCATACAAAATTATCATACAGCCTTTTCACGAAAAATCAATGTGCATTACTGTAGCTTTGATTCATTATAATGATCACATATAAAATTACAAACGTTTGAAATTTTCAAATTATTTCACATGAATGATATTTCATATATTTTGTACAGAATCTTCAAAAATTAAAATTTCAGAAATATTTCAATCATTTTCATATATTTTTCTTAATAAATCAGACAGAGCATGTTTGTAAATGTTTTAAAATCAGGGTGAAGCTGTATGACACTAAATTAGACTTGATGATCTTTTTTAAAAATATTCTAGCCAGCCTTACATTGAAGATTCAAATTTAAAACAATTCCAATAAAATTACAAGAGGAATGGCTCTCATACAACCACACAATATTGGATTTCAACCCCAAAAACCAAACCCAAACCCATTGCTAATTTAAAATGCAAACTTTTTAATTTCTTCTTTTTACATCAACTTAATTCTCTCCTAAAAGGAACAAAACGAAGAAAATAATAAAAAGCTCACACAAAATTGACAAAACTTCTCTTAAAGATGAAAAACTTTTTCTTTGTGTTTTCTTTGAGGTTTTCAATTTCACAGAAGAAATTCTCATCTCTTTTTTTTAATTCTGTGTCCTCTGATGCTCCGTGTGTACGCTAAATGTATGCTGAGCATTGTTGTTGCGCCGTAGCCCGAAAGCAAAACAGAGCGAGCAACAAAAACGTAGATGAAAATTGAGAATTGAGGAGAAGAATTGAAATTTAAAAAAAAAAGAATTTCACGACGACTGTTTTCGTGAGCGCGCGAAGCAACGAAAAGAAGTTCAATGATGCATCGTTCGTGTGTTTTGGGGGAGAAACAAAGCAACAACAACAACAAATTATAAAAACCTTCACACATCTACAAGGCACACACATACACAAATTTTCTCAAATTTCTTCTCTCTTCGTCGTTTTCGTTTTCGTCGTCGTCGGAATCGTCGTCGCTGTGTGTTTTTTTCTCTGTTCCTTCTTTTTTTCTCTTTTTGTAAAATGTGTTCATGTTCAATGTCTGAGCATCGCGCGAGATTTTTTTTTTCGAAAATTTTTGTGGTGTTATTGTTGCGTCTCGTGTGTAGTGTACTCGGAATTTACTTTTTCAACATACATATATGTATATAGAAGTCGAGTAGAGGGAAAAATGAGAAAACGACTCAGGCAGCAAAGCATGCAAGTAGAAATTTAAAAAAAAATACACAGTAAAAAGAGAAAAACCTCGTAGCGATATTGAGAATGGGGAACAGCAAAAAAAAAACATTCAGTATTGATGGTTAGCTTCTCACATCAACACGTGTTGAGATTATTCCGCGTCGTGTTTTTTTAGAAAAAAGGAAAGACAAAAAAAATCCCTCAACAAAAATTTCTTTTTTCTGTGTGTCCAAAAAGGAGAGAATCAGAATATTTTTATGTGAAAAGGAAGACGAGTAAAAAAAATAATAAACAGACATAAAAAAGTTTATTTTGGATACTCATAACAAATTGTTTTGTGCGCCTTTGATGCACCAATGGATTTGATTGATTACAAAAAATTTATATACAGAGAAATTATTGTATCCAATGTGGAATCGTGACTGGATTGTTGTGGATGATTTGTTCTAATGAGAAGAAGTTAGAATTATTTTTTTTAATTTTTTAAATTGTTGCGAGAAAAATTTTCAAAAATTTGAAGGATAAAAAAATTGGTTTTTTGAAAATTTCATCAACTGTGAAATTGAATTTTTCTTGAAGATCTATTAAATTTTTTGTGAAGTTTATTTTTTTAAATTCAAGAATTTGTGAAATTGTGACTTCTTGAATAATTTTTGAAATTTAAGTGAAATAACATTTTTAACATTCGAAATTTTTATTTAAAAAAATTCAAAAAATTTAAAATCAAGAATTTTTGAAAAATTAACTGTGAAAAATTGTTGAATTTGTTCCAAACTTTTATTAAAATATTAACAAAAATGTAATAAATTAGATTCTAAAACATCCATTAAAAGTATCATTCCCTACGAATATACACTAATACTTACAGAATCTCATAAGAATAAAATTTTAAGAACCATTTTAAAATAATTGTAGAGAGATATTAAGGAATTCTCATTTTAACAACAATATAGGGTAGAATGTCAGACGATGTTTATGAATTTCGAACATGCTTCGAAAAACAATGTGACTTTTTTCTCATTTAAACAGTAATTGTTCAATATTCAGGATCACATTTGATGAAGTTTTGAAAATTATTAATTAAAATTTAAAAACTTACTTTTAAAGTTTCGAAAAAGTTATTTTAAAACTTTTAATTTTAAAAATCTTTTGAAGACCTTAAAATATCTTAATTAAAATTTTTTGAAAATTTTTCAACGTCTCCAAAAATTTTAATTACAAAATACTAATGAATTTTAATAATATTAAACAGGTCTAAAAAGGTCACCGAGTATTGGAAGCAAAACATAAATTAATTTGTATCAGTGCCATAAATAGAAATACGAAAGAAATTTTCAAAAAAAAACAACCCATTTAAAAGTGAATCAAGTGAACCGCATGGAATCCGAATGAATTTAAATTAGATACAAAAAAATTTAATTGAACCCACCAGGAATCACAGTGATTTACATAAAATCTTGAGTGAATTAAGATAAATCAGTTACATTAGCAAACAACCTTACACAAAAAATAATTTATGTGCAAAAATAATCCGATGAGTCATCAGTGCAGAATCAAAAATTGAAGTGAATTGTCTAAGAATAGAACAAAATTTTCATGTGAATCACGAGGAATTGCAGACAAATTAGACTAGATTTAGAAACAAATAAAAAAATTGTAATTTCAAATTGAAAATCAAGGAAAAAATTTGCATGCATGTGAAGTGAATTTTATTTTATTCTCAAAAAAAAAACAACAAGCAAGAAAAAGTCATCAAACATAAAAAACGAGAAAGAGAAATAAAAATAAGAAAGTTATGTCAAATCGAGAAGAGAATAAGAAGAAGACGAAGATAAATGAAAAATAAAACAAGAATGAAAATGGATATACAAACAAATCAGAAAAGAATTGTGAAATAAATTAAATTCTCTCTCAAGATTTTTTTTGATGTGTGTGAGAAAAATTTAAAACAAAAAAATTCAAATTAGAAAGGAATTTAAATGTGTGAATTTAAGAAAATGACTAATTAACGGTCATAAAGATTCAAAAAAGTTTTTAATTTGTGCTAGAATTTTATACAGTTACAAGAATTACATTAGACATATATTGAACTTATCAGCTAAGATACCATGCTAAACTAAGTCCATTCAACTCAAGTGACTCATAAAATAAAACCATAGAAAGAACAGAACCTTACTAAGTGAACATATTCAACTAGTGAATTTCTTTTTATATCGACGTGTAGCATAAATCTCACATAAATTTGTGAATTAAAAAATTATTACTAAAAAGTGTTTAATAAAATAACAAGAAATTATTAAAAAATTTTGTAATAAATAAGCAATGGATACAAGTTACAACATTGGAAATGAAATGGATGCAAACATGTTTAATCAGTACATGTACAAGGTGTGTTGAAAAATAGATAAAACATTATGAAAATATTTAAATAAAAATTTTAGAGCTATTTTTCCTTTCCCACTCGACAATATTAACCTCGTTGTTGTCGTCGTCATTCTCCACGATACTTGAAAGTTATTTTTATGTTTAACGAAGATTTTTATCAATTTACTGGAGAGAAAAGCACGTGAAAAAGTAATTGGATGAAATTTACATTAGAGCATGTTTTTTGTCGGATGTATGTAAAATATTGAAATTTTTTTGAGGGTTACTTTAGCTACAGCACCTTGAATAGCTTTATTGCTGTTTTTAATGTTAAGTAAATATTTTTTTACATAGTGGAGTTTACGGGAGTGATAAGAAATAGGCTTTAAAAATAAAGGCTATCAAATGTTTCAGAATTGTAAATTTATAAACTTTATTATAAAGGCACACCACATCGACATCTAGTCAATTTGAACCTCACTATTGCTCAAATTGGACTTCAATGATTTAAGTCACATGTTACCGGATTAAATTATTAGAACAAAGACAACATACTATACATCATGTATTGATTTTAGACTCGGAAAAATGTTTTTTGCAAGCCCTTTCCCTCAAAATACACTACCTTTAACCCCAAATTTTTCTTATTCATACCTATCCAACGCAGCCAATTTATTCAACCTACGTCTTACACATTACATATTGCCATAATTTTACTTCTTCAGCCATTCATTTAAGCATTTGATTGAAGTGAATATTGCGTGAAATTATGTTTGATATGTAATCAATTATGTTTATCTTGAAATAATTTTATTTTTATGACAGTGAAGTTTGATTTTTTTTGCTGTGCTGCGCTGTTTGCTAGTCACATTACAAGTCATAGTCAGTGGGGGAGTGTTGTGTCTTGGAGAGACGTACGGAATGAAAAGAAAATAATAAAAATAAAAATAAACCATGTAATTGGATGAGAAAAAAAAATATATTCATGTAATTGGAAGGAGGAAGAAAATTAAAGAAAATTACGAAGCATGAAGAAAAAAAATTAATTAAAATTTTTGAAATTTAATGAAAAATAATGATTTTAAAAAAGTGAAGATTTTAAAGCTGTAAAAGTTTTGTTTGGGAATTTTTTATCATAATTATGTGATAATGTGCTTCATTAAATTCAAATTAAATGTTTTGATATGAATTTTTTAAATTGCTAATGAGGATTTTGTTTTTGATTTGAATTTCAAATTTTCCGTTAACTTTTGTCTCGGCTTAATGAAATTTTTGAGAGATGCCGATGAAATGCTTAATTCTTCTTGGTTTAAATTTCTGCATAAATTCCTCATATTTTTAAAAAAAAATGAATTTTAGAAATTTTTATGAAATTTGGATTTAATTAGAAAATATTTCCATAATCAACCCACAAAGTTCCACGACATTTACTTTATTAATTTTTTAAATTAACATTTCAATTAAGAACAGGAAATTTCGTAAGATTTATTAAGATCATAATCGCTGTATGGAAAATAAATTGAGTAAAATAAAAAAAATATTAAAAACTAACGAAACTTGCTTAATAATCTCGTCCAATCAGTTAATGTCCTAGATTTATATAACCTTCTTAATAAAAAACTATAAAAATGTTTGCTTTTTGTATCTTTTTTTTTCACAAAATCATTCAACAGTTTAAATGAAGACCTTCAAGATCAATTTTCATTAAAAGTCATCCACAAAAATTTATGTCTGTGTACACATGAACAAAAATAAAACATAACGGAAATGACACTTTAGTTTACTTTAATTTATTTGATTTTTTCATCATCTTCATCAATGCGCATTGTATGATGTGTCATCATCATCATCTTATTGTACTCATGACATTTATCCATGAACTTTACCTTATTGCCATCAAGAGTTGACAAATGGACGAAAGTTCTTGGGAATTGTCTGTAAATGATGTTTAACTTTTATAGAGAGAATCTAAAGCTTTAATATTTACGACAGCAATTCATAAAAAATTTATGATTGACCAACATCGTTTATGAACAATCCCTATATTCGTATTGTTATGCTGCTAATTTATTTTTCTCTCTTTCTTTATCGTAATCATGTCAATCGAAAATTGGATTGGCTTCCAAAGTGTCTACACGAGGCAATATGCGTTGGATTTCATTGACATTCTTTCTTCTCATTCTCTTATTTTTTTTTTTATGTAATTCCAGTTTTGATATTTACAAAAATTTTTCTTCATCTAGTTTTGATATCGTCATTGTCACAAATATTTAAATATTACAATACTTTACATAATATTTCACACATTTTATTATCAATACCACGTGCTGATTACCTTTTCTCTTTTGTATCATCATTGATTGTCTAATTTATTTTCGCATATGAAGCCTTATTTTCATTCGATTCGTTAGTTGTGTACATAAAATGTTAACAGAAAATTGTTAAAAATAAATAAATAAAAAAATAATGTGTCGAAAAGAAATAATTTAATGACACTAATGTAATTAATTAACAGTGACCGTGGTGAGATTAGTGCTATAAAACTTGTAGATATTGAACATGTCACATTCATTCTTGGTAGCTATGTGACTTATTGAACCAATTTATAATCAATTTCTGTAATGAACATGTGGCTCGATTTATCATCTAGTTTGGTTAACAAAATGGCTGACTAGGTTGATTTTTTGTGTCGAGTTTGTAATATATTTTGAATTTTTTAGAGATTTATGATGCATAGCGTTGTGGTTTATGTCGTTGCCATTTTTTTAAAGATCATAGACTGAGAAACTTTAAAAAATTCGTTTGAGATTGCAAATGAGATGTAAAAAACTTTTTGAGGTGGACAATTTTTTAAGTTTTATTTTAATATTTTTTATTTTATGATGAAACTCAAATTCAATTGTAAATTTTTTTAAAAGTTTAAACAAATTTTTACCACGATGGTTAAAATGCGCTCTTAATACCTACAACTAGTAACTTCCTAACAAGTTCACAAATCTTTTCAGCTCGATATTCGATAAAACTACATTTTTGAAATTCTTATAAAATTTTCCGCAAAACTAAATTTTCCAAATCATTAAACAATTTTAATGGCCCGAAAATTGTAAAACTTTTATAGCATTTAATTGCAGCAAAAAAAATATTTCATCCAATTAATCGATAAACTTGCAAAACCATTTTACGATAAAAAAATATTTATTTTTTGTGCTAGTTATAAAAAAATGTATTGAACACATGACATAGAAATAAAATAATAAAAGAAGAAGTAAAAAAATTGTCAATTGATTGTCATAAAAGTCTCTTGGCCTGTTTAGAAAAAAAAACTTTCAACAAATATTGAAATAAAAAAAAATCAATCTAAAAAGGAGGCAACAGAAAAATAGAAATTTCTTCTTCCATTTCGTTGTACTTCTCATTCTTCTTCATTTCTAATGCAAAAAATAAATATTTTCCTTAAAGATTATAATGCGAAAAAAAAGTTCCAAAGATGTTTCAAGTATGTTATATGCTCAACATGGCTTAGCTTTTGGATTATAAGGAAAATTTTAATTGAAAATATCTGCAAATGTTGATGTTGTTTGTGTACACAAAAAGTAAATAAACATGAATCTTAACTGTGATTAAAAGACATTCCATTCCATTTGTTGTTGTAAATTGTTGAGAATCTAAGAAGAGTTGAAAAGTCTCTGGGTTAGTATGGGCGCCTCTTGGTACGAATTTTATATGGGAATTAAATTTTTTTGTTTTAAGTTTTTGGTAAAATTTGTCGATAAATTTTGATTACAAAATTTTGTGATTTTTAAGTGCTCTAGTCAAGGTAGCCATGGCGGCACCCTATAGACCAAATAAATACAATACTTCAAGCATTTTGTTTTTCAAATCAATTTTATAGATATTTTTTTTACTAAAATATTTTAAGAAGTCATTTAATTATTGAAGTTAATACCAAAAAGGGGGGTCAAGAGTAGTGTGACCTTTCTTAGAAGTTTATGGCAAAAATGATTTAAAAATCTAAATGATATTGTTCTGGCAACCAACTTAAAGGGAATCAAAAACCATCAACTTATAAAACGAAGGGTTGATAATTTCATTTTTCATTGAACTCAGAGAACCACATATGCTTATTTTAGCATATCCACAACAATCCCATCCACAATCACCAACTCATTTTAAAACCTTCTAAATAAACCGCTAAAAGAACACGAAACACTAGAGAGAAAAAAATGCTCAAGAAATTGAATTTAACAGTTAAGAAACCTTTATTCATTGCATGCAATTGAATAAGAAACGAATAAAAATTCCTTAACAGTCATCATGCAATCAAATACATTTGAAATTTTGAGTGGCAGCAGCATGTAACATAAAGAAGTGACTGCACATATGAGAGAGATAGAGAGACAGAGAATAAAATGAGCATGTAAGAAAGAAATAATATCGATAAATCATTCTTTTTTCGCCATGAGTTGTTGTGGATGTTGAGAAGGCCATTGTGAGGCATGTGATTGCACAATTTCATGAGAACTCTAGTGACTTGCAAGTGACCTGATTTGCTTTTCAGCTTTATGCAAAGATAAATCTTGTACATACTTTTTCAGCTAACACTCGCATACTTTTTTTTGGAAAATCACCAAATGATTAATCGATTAAAGGCAGAAACATTGAATAACAATGAAAGTGGATTGTCATTGCATTGCAAACGGCCTTAGGAGAAGTTATTTAATAGATTTTTATCATCATCGTCATCTTATTTGGTGGGCCTTATAATCAAGTCAACATGATAGATGACTTTACGAAAATATTTTCATCGCCTTAAGATTAAAATTCAGTGATAAAGGGTGGAATTTTTTGAGGTAGATTAAAATTTTTTGAGAGAAATTGCCGGAAATATTTGGCATTGATGGAATGGAATGAAAATATCCGGTTGAGGTTAAGGAATTTTTTTATTTTAGCCAAGATTATTTTATGACTCTGGCATGGTGGTGAATTTAAATCCAAGCTCGCAACATGCTAGAGTCACACCGGTC